TGAGTGCTTTACAGATTTTAATATAAATTTAAAGTGATGAAATTTGATTATTGTGGATGCTCATAATCAATCATTAAACTTTAAGTATTTTATGGGAAGACATAAAATAATTTGGCCAAAACCAATAGGTGTATTGCAGCACTCATACCTCCAAACGTATATCTGCCATCGGGTGGGACAAGGGTAGAGGCGATTGAGAGGGTTAAAATCGTAATTGGAGAGTTTCAAAAACTAATTTTCCTCTACTAATAGGATAGCCATTTCTTAAAATTGAAGAAAAATATTTTTCCAAACATCCAAAATTGAAAACCAAACACACACCTTTGGAAGCAAGATGCTCACAATATCCGGATTTAGGACAGGTGTCCAAAGCAGAACATAGGATCCCTCCTCATGTGATACTACCTGCACTTTGATTGGTTGAAGATGACAACTTTTGTTGCCAATCGGACCTCGTAACCACATTACGTGTAACAAACACTTCATCCCATTTCATCTAGTTAGGGTTTCATTTGGGCCCAATCGCAAAAGGATAAGCAAAACAAGCATTGGCGCAAACTGCAGGCATATTCCTCATATTCTTCCTCATACATCCAGCTTCCCATTTTCAGCTCATCTATTTAATTGGCAGCACCCCATTTAAAAAGGCACGATCTTTGCTATAGTCAAGTCAAAAATCAATCAATTAATCAATCATGCCAACTTCTCAGATTTTGCAGACAGAACAAGATCTTCTCATGATGTCTTCCCTTTTTGATGATCCCAAAGGTGCAAACTTTTGGTTGCTTTTATTTTGTAGTAGAATTCAATATCTAACAGTTTATGATTTTATTGAACTTTTGAGATTTATTCCCTTTTTTTAAAGTGAATCTTGATGGCCTTATGCTTTGTTTAGTTCATTTTATTATTATGGGCCTGAATCCAACTCTATACTGCTACTTTGTGCTGTGATTCTCATGGTGATTTGGAAAAATCAGTAATTTATTCCCAAGGGATGGATTGCAGGAGAAAATGTGAAGTCCCGAGGGATAGCTATCGAGAAAAAGATCGAGTGTCTTGAAAGCTTGGCTGGAAAAGTAATTTTCTTTGCATCTATTTTTGGCAGTCAATTTATTTTTATTGACTTAAATACTCATCCCCACTTCTCATTTTAGTAATTGCTATTGTGATCTCGGTCTTTTGAGATTAATGGGTTTGTCTTTTTTGTATCTGCAATTCATATCATATCTTGATTGGTAGTTTTTGGATAAGTAGATAATTAGCTCCTCAGTTAGTTTAATTCGACATGCTTGGTGGAGCGACCATTATAATAGTAGTGTTTAGGGTTGGGTAGTTTCTTTGCATTTTGAAAACTTGAATCTAACATGGGTTTCCAAGATTCTTTTCTTGTTTATCCAACTAATATGTATTTTGATGTTGTATATTCCGAGTTATATATGCCAAAGGTATTATCATTTCAGGTCAGCAACAGGAGATCTCGCAGATGGTTGAACGATCGTCTTTTAATGGAACTTGTTCCTTGTTTAAATGCAGAAGAAATTAGAGGGCTGTTTGCCCCACCACCTTTTGGTAAGATATTTTTGGGTGTGGTCTTATTCCGTAATTGATCATTTACTGTTCCTAGTGATGTACATTTTACCTTTGGTTCCTTTCGGAAGCAAGCTCTGGAGACAGTTCGTCACCTTCCCTAATACTGATTAAACATAAGGTGCCCAGGTTACACTGATAAAACATAATGGACTCTATGCAGCACGAATTTGGATTAGTCGGGCCAATGGGTTCCAGATACCTTATGGTTATACAAAAAAGGCATCATTATCTGAACCAAAAAAAAAAAAACTAACGTGAGTCAATTTGGATATCTTTTGGTACCACAAGCAGTTCTTAATATTCTAGCTACCATTAGTAGAGGTTAAGTTTCTACATTCATTGTCTCTGCTGAAGTTGAAACATCTTGAAGCAACAGAAAATACATTTTCTAGCAAAGAAGGATGCCTGCCTGGCCAAGATTATTTAGCACAATGATTTTTGCACATACACTTCTTTCTTGTTAAAAGAAAAAATTATTATTAGCATACATACTGCATGGGGAGTTTTTTTGTCCAGGGAAACAGTTGTATCATCCTTCATCTTTTGCTCTGAACATGATACAATCGTGCATATATGTCTTCTATGTCACGATTTGTTTATTTTAAAGAGCACAAAATATGTTAATATTAATTAGGAAAACAAGAAAAAGTAAGAAATGCCATATCATTGCACCAAAAGTGACGAGGGCTTGGAGTTCAACTATCTTGAAGCAGAAGCAGAAGTGCATATGTTTTCAAGCAGGGTTGTGAATGTGATAATGGTCCAGTTATAACTCATGGTTGTGATTTTATATTTTTACATAGCGTTCCATCTTAGTCAAATAGAAGCTCTTCGGCTGTTCATACTCTTTTGTCAAATATATATACTCTTCAATTGAACTTTTTTTTTCTTTAAGAATAAGTACTTTTCCATTGAACTTATTACACGCTAAATTTTTTTTCTTATATTAACATATTAATATTTCTTTTTCTGCAGGTGATGATGTGCCACTCTCAGTATTTTGCTTGACAAATGTGGAGGAGTGGGACAAGTTCAGGAATATAGACATGGATAAGGAGGTTATTACGTTTTCCTGTTTCTGTAAAGTGTATTTACTTCCTAAAAACCTGGCAACATTTACTTCGAGTAGTGTTTATAGTGAAAACGATGACTTCTTTCGACATTATGTATTTTCACCCCCTTCTTTTTTGATAAGCATGCATTCTTTCCTTTGGTTTTCTTGGGAATGATTTCCTTAGGACAATTTAGTGATATGAAAGGCCTGCTGTTACTTCATAGTTGAATTGAACTACTTATTAAAGCACAGTTCATTATTTATTAATAATTTTACTATATGAAATTCATGATTAACTCTTCATGTAGTATGTCTTCACCCCTCTGTTTCAAAAGTTTGCATTTTTATTTAATTCAATTTCTTGGAATTTGACTTGTGATGTTGCAACATTTTCTTATGGTCTTCTATATGCTCTTATTTGGTTAGGCCACCATAATGGATGCTCTTGAAGGCAAACCATTGAAGCGAAAACATTGCGTGGATAATGATAAGGTTGCAGTGTTGACTTCATGGCATAGAGTGGATTGTCGAACAAGAGAGGCACTTCGACGTAACTTTCTTCCTGAATTGGTCAGCAGCTATGAGGTATTATTCCTGAGAATTATTGGCCCCCCTGTCTTCAATTTGTTCTTCTGTATGCGTTGTTCTTATGCAAATGTTATTCAGCTATTGCATCTGTCATTGTTCTGAAGGTGTTGCAACAAACACCGACTTGATATGTAATAAGGTTCTGATAGAAGTTTAAGCTTGTTGAGCCACCAAGGGAGGTGGCCAGTGATCACTGAGTTGAAGTGACAACCTTGGGAACCCATATTGGAGTTCCAGTAGAGTCGACAATGAACTCTTCTTATCTATCTAAGTTCATGGGGAGAGTTACCTCATACTTGTGCCGGTAGGAGATAGTAGGTACCCGCAAAAAGAAATTTTAAGCTTGTTCTGTGGCCGAATTGGTTTACGTTGGGATTACTGGAGCTGCAAAATAATCTACATGCTCGTGTGAAACAACTTAGATGTCTACTCCATCATACTTGAGTTGGAGATTAGTGTAATAAGAAGAAATAACAAGGATTTTCTTTTAGGCTTGGCTATAAACTATAGTTTGAGGGTGGGGAATGGATCCATGCTTGCTGTAACATTAGGAGTGTGCCAAGCCAAGTTATGTACTTCATTTGTTATGTACAATTGTTTCCCTTTTTATGGAATCATCTAGGTGGCTGCTATCCTTTCATGCCCTGTTTCCTTTTCTCTTTCACGTTTTTTAGTTGGTCTAGATCTTTTTGCTTTAATAACTTGTGGGATAAACTCATAAATAACCATACCCCTGGCGGTGTTTCTGATAGTCCAGAGGATTTGATTTTTACATTTTCATTGTTTTATGCTGCCTTTCCAACCATTTTCTCTTCCCGTTCTTTTGTTTTTGACTTTCTGTTGTTAACATGAGTTTTGGATATTTTACTGTAGCAATGCGTACGAGCATTTGTGGAGAGTGGTGATGGAGAGGTGCTTGTGCTACGGGTTCAAGACCCCTTTCATCGGTTGTTGCTGCATGGTGTTTGTGAGGTATGATTTGTGGAGCAATAATGTTTACATTTCCTCACTGCAGCACTACGGCATATATGTCATGATAACATTGAGCACTGCTTCAACTTCGGGTCTGCCTCTAGATGTTCAAAGTTGTATTGTTAAGTAAGAAGAAAACAATATGCATAGTCTCAGGATATGTTGCCTTTACCTTAAAAGAGAATGCACATATGACGCTAATCTGATATGTGATAAGTGGACTAATCTTTTATGGTCATCTTATGGCTGCTTACTTATGTTTTAACAGTTCTACAACCTGGTCTCCGTAACAACCTCACAAACAGAAGGCAACAAGGCTGTGAAAGTGACTAAGATAAAGAAGAAGAAGAAGGCGGGTTCAGCTGATATCCCAAACATTACACTCTGCAACTTTCTGAAGATGGCAAAAGAAGGGTTCTGGTGATACATTTCGCCAGGATCTAGCCCTTGTATCATTACTATGTTGTGCACTTGTGCATTATCTTAATTTACTCATTAACATCAAATATGGTTGTCCCCTCGGCAATGCCGACGACTGTACTAATAAATTAATGACTTGAATTGTGGGTGCTTCGTGTTTGGAAATGTCTTATTTCTAGGGGCACCTATTAGGGATGGTTGTAAAGGGAATCTAAATTGCTTTGTATATATTGCAGAAATAAACATACCTTGTGATTTATCACTGGAAGTGCGAAGAAACATTCTTCTGTTACGTACATATTGCGACTTGGTGGCAAATGAGCACTAGAGATGGGAAACAACCATAGGGAAGTTATTCTCTTTAGTCCCTCTTTCTCTTTTCGTGTGACAACAAGCCTAGCGTAATCTCATAAGTAGAGTTTGAGGAGGGTAGTGTGCACAAATATTACCCTATCTTGAGAAAGTATAGAGAAGTAACAATAGCAAGTAATAAGAAACCTAAGCGAAGAAACAACAAAGTGGTAATACAAATCTACGAATAAGAAAATACAAGACTAACACTAATACTATTGGAACTGAAAAGGAAAGAAAAGCACTCGATTACCTATTAACCCTCTACCTTAATTCTCGGCCTCCACATTCTTCTATCAAGGGTTAAATGTCTATAAGCTGAAGCAACATCATGTCTTGCCTAATCACCTCGCTCCAATACTTCTTAGGTCTGTTTCTATTTCTCTCAGACCCACCAAGGCCAACCTCTCACACCTCTTCACTGGGCCATATGCGCCTCACAGCTTTACATGCCCGACCATCTAAGCTTCATTTCCCGCGTCTTGTCCTCCACTGAGGCTGCTCGCACCTAGTCTCAAATATCTTCATTCCTTATAAATAGTTGAAAAATATAAGTAGCTTAGTATTTGTTTGACTTGTTTTAAGCTTACTTTTATTTTGGCAAGCGAGTAGGAATCCGCAACAACAACTACCGATGACTAAAAATAAAACTTGAAAAAGTAGCTAGTGTCAAAATGAGATCAAATAATCCAAGTTAATTACTGATGGTCGCAGTAGCCAGCTAAGGTTCACTCTGTATAGTCAATGAAGAAAGAATAAAAAAGAAAGGGTGGCAAATGCAGTTTGATCTTGGGTAACTTGATCGCCAAGAGCCATCATTGACTAAGTGACCCTGCGACTGCTGTATTAACTAGTATAAAATCCTTAATATCTCGTGCTTATACCAGACCACCAATTTCTTCCTCAGACTAATCTTGTCTGTTTAGTACAATGGCCATGAAACCCGTGAAGTACTGTGTGGTGAGTAATTTCTGTCTCACTCATTTATTATGTTTATTGAATGTTATTTTCATTGTTTGAAATGGTTGTTGAACTCACAGGTGGATGCCTTCACTGACGCAGCATTCAAAGGGAACCCAGCAGCCGTTTGCTTACTAGAAGAAGACAAAGATGACAAATGGTTACAGTCTGTTGCTACTGAGTTCAATATGTCTCAAACTTGTTATCTCACTCCACTTACCCTATCTAAGCCTAACCCCACATTTGGCCTTCGTTGGTTCACTCCAGTTACTGAGGTCAGCCTTTCTCTGGATTTATCCTACATTTAGGCAGTACAAGTTTGGAGCTCATCTTTTTGAAAATTTGTTATTGGAAAAATGGGGAGAAATGGAAATCCATAAGTTTGAAAGTGTTTCATAAGTTTCACTTTTTAGCAAGAAATTTCATTTGTGCTTTGCAGGTAGATCTATGTGGACATGCAACGCTAGCAGCTGCACACTTTCTGTTTGCCTATGGCTTAGTTAAAACTGATATGATTGAGTTTTCAACAAAGTCAGGAATTTTAACTGCCAAAAGAGTTCCAGAAGCCAAAGCTCCAAATTCTCGGGACGACTGGCCAACAGGTTACTCAATTGAATTGGACTTTCCTGTTGTAAAAGTAGCCGAGACCAATTTTGCTGATGTTCCTGCAATTTCGAAAAGCTTGAATGGTGCATCTGTGGTTGAGATGCTTGAGACATCTAAGAGTGATCTTTTTGTACGTATTTCATCTTGATTTCCTTTTTGTATTTACACAAAGGTACAAACATGAAGGACAACCAAGAAAGAATTTCTGTTTCATTCTTTTATAAAAAAAACGAGACATTTTTTTTCAAAAATTAAGGAGGAAGGGATGCTAGATAAAGTTAGTAATCCTTCCTAGGGAAATGAAGATAATTCATGGTGTTTTTGCAGATTTTACTCCCATCAGGTGAGGTAGTGGTCGAATGCCAACCTCAGCTTGATCAAATAAAGAATATCCCTGGCAGAGGAATGATAATAACAGGACCTGCTCCACAGGGTTCTGGCTTTGATTTTTATAGTCGCTTCTTCTGCCCAAAGTTGGGAATCAATGAGGTAATTGCTAGCACCTCAATTTACTGTGAGCATGTATAATATTGTGTTCAGGCAGATCATAGTCACTGAAAAAGGTGGTACTGAATTTGCACATCCTAGAGAATTGAAGCCAATTACATAGATAGAGTTCATCGTATCTTCGTATAAAGACAACTGCATATGTAAACATCTATATGTTTGTATAGCTGATGCATCTTAGATGTCTCACCTGTTCTCTTCTTGTGCATATATATATATTTTTTTAAAACAAAACTTTTCAGGATCCTGTTTGTGGAAGTGCTCATTGTGCCTTGGCTCCTTATTGGCATAAAAAACTTGGCAAACGTGACTTTGTTGCTTTAGCGGTACTTCCTCTCTTCCTCCAACTTCCCCCATCTCCTTTATCAGGAACCAACTGCACAGGCTGAAATTCTTATACTAACTACATAGTTCTATTTGCCCTATTGATTGGTAATGTTTTGTGGTTTAGGCCTCACCTAGAGGTGGCGTCGTGAACATGCATCTAGACGAGGAGAATCAAAGGATGTTTCTGAGAGGGAAAGCTGTTACTATCATGGAAGGTTCTCTTCTAGTATAATATAGCTAGGAGTGGACATCATAAATTTAATAAAATTGGTGGAAGTTTGTGTTAACTTTCTAAAATCTCTAAATTTGTTTTGGTTTTGTACTTCTCTGTGGCTCTTGAAGCATTCTTCTCTTTTTGTAAGTTTTCAGTGTTTTTAAACATTTACTTGTGTAGTTCTGTGCTTTGCTTCAGTAATAACATCTCGTCTTTTCAAACCATTATCTTATCAGAGGGATGGAAGCTCATTAACTGAGTTGTCTATAATGAACTTCGCATGCCTACAAGTAGTGCGCAGTTTGTACTATCATCAAAGTTGATGCAATTGATTGTTTACATTAGGCCTCATTTTTTGGTAAGCTACTGATAAAGAAGGAATTCAAGTCCTTTAATTAGGTAACAATATTTTTTTTCATTTTGCAGCAAAATCGGACAGAGACCTAGCCCCTGCTTCGTTTAAACAATTAAAATGAGGTCTAAGATCGTTTCTTCTTTTCCAAATCCTCTTCTATGTTTGGATACTTATTAAATGCGACAGAACAATTCCTGTACTTGACATCAGATCTGTTGAACCATAAAACTTAGAACAATTTTATTTGATGCAACACCAAATATCCTCCAAACCATATTCTCGTCTTCCAATACAAGAAATAACAGGAAGATAGGGACCTACAATTGTGATATTTATTCCTTTAGTTTCATAACATACTGTAAAGGGCTTCACTCGCGTTGTCAATTCCTTTAGCTTCATAACATTCAGCACCACCAGCAGGAAGTTCGCGAAGTAATTTGGTATGAGCACCTGAAAAAATATGATTTGAGAGAATGCTAAGTGAACCGTTAGCGGTAGTTAAAACAAGAGAATCAATCAAGATTTGGACCATGTCGACATTTCGAGTAACAGGGTTCTCAGGGAAGTATGCACAAGAGTTTTCTGTACAACCAGGACCAGGTTTTTTGAAGCATTTGTGTAAACAAATGTTTGTAGAGAATCACAGGGAGGAGTAATTTGAAGGGCATGTTTACAGGTACAGGACTTGTAAGGACGAGAACAGTTGATCCACGAAAAAGTGCCACCCAAATCAAGGTACAAAGTAGTGGGTTGAAGTGGGGGGTTAAGGTAAACATAGGAAGTGGGTACAAATTGGTGGAGTTGTCTTTATTGACAGGACAACATGTGAAGAGACAGTTCAAATCCATGAGCCGAGAACGAGGAAGAAGAGGCTTAAGAAAGAGAGAGAGAGAGATTTGGACCTTAGTTGTGTGCATGGCTTCTGCTAGTGTAGCTGTTACTTAGAAATTAGAATTGACAACCTGATTCCAACTTATTTACTATAAGTTAGAATAGTACAAAACTTTCTTGCTTGCTCCATACAAGAAGTTTTTTTTCAGGCTTGAATTCCAGACCGACCTTTAGTTAAGGATAAAAGGATCTTATCCGTCTCATAAATTAGTATGCAAAATTAGGTTTATATGAATATTTATTCAAAGGCAGATACTCTGCCTCTTCGTGTTACAAGACAACTTCTTTTTATCTAGTTGCCAACTCATTTATAGGATTAATAAATACAGTCAATATTCACATGCAGTATTTGTATCAATAAACTGCATGATGAGGCAATGATCTAAGACCTTGTATCAAAATGAATCTCTTCAAGAGGCGACTTCTCGGCCTTATCTTTGAAATAAAATTTTTAAAAGTTATTCTTTAAGGAGGGAGGGGAAGGGAAAATGCAGGTAAGAGATCACAAGGTGAAAACTCGAACCCCTACCACAAGGAAAAAGTTCAAATAATCAACTATCTGAGCTATTGAGATTTCTCACTTCCCGGCCTTATTATGTCACACTCGAGTATTATTTAAAATTCCAAATCACAAGCACATAATGGGGCTTTTCTTTTTCCCTTCTTTTCTTGGTTGACTTTAAAAATTGACAAATTGTGGACTTTTGAATATTGATTTCAAATAAAGTATTTGGAAAGGGACAATTTTATCAACAAATTAGCTAAAAACTTCCTCAGATGGTACTTGGTAGCAATTAAAAATTGAATGGCAGCATTTTCTCAGCTAGATTAATTGTCTCTCATCTTTATATTTCAAATTATGAATTGCATTCATTCAACACACATAAATTTCTTATTCAAACCCGATACATGTATACTAACCCAATGAATACCTAACTTGTATCATTATTTTGATATAAACATGTATTACCATTGATAAGTTATGTGATTATGTTTTGATCATTTGTCAATCTTCATTGGGAAACTGGATAGGAACCTGATACAATTAGTTCCTTTGCGCCTGGTGGACATGTTAAGTTGTCTCGTCAAACTCTCGAGAAACCAGAAAAGGAAACAAATAGGATCAGTTCCTTCAATTATCGTATAGTCAACTCTACAACTATAAAAGTTGTTTCATTGTACTGACTAGCAGCAGTGCAGCGACACAACCGCTATTGGTAGAGGCCAAACCAAAAGCTGAAATGTCTCTATCTCTTCACACATGCTCTCTCATATAAAAGGAACATTATGCAAGGTTTGACCTAATACTTGAGAATCTGAAAAACCTATCATTCAAGTACCAGGCGCCATTGTTTCCTCCAGGTGCACTCTAGAATAAAGCTGCTATAAACCAAGGACCAAATCCTAACACTGAAGATGTCTTGAGTCCTTAAGTTTGTTGTGTCTTTGTCTTTTGTTCTTTACTTGTATTCCGACACGAATTTTTAGAAGTATTTCGTAGGACACTATTTAACCATTATTGTTTTGGTTGTTTTACTAGAGTTAGTCTAGAGTAGTTATTTGAGAGTTTGTGAGCATGTGATTTTTGCCCTATTAGAATTACTCCTACAAAATTAAAGAAATAGATTTTTTCCGAATTGTTTTTAATTTTATAGGATTTTTGTAGGATTTTATTAATTGTTTGCATTTTTTGCACGTTTAATTTTGTTAAAATCATGAAAAATGCCCCAAAAATGTCAAAAGTTTCATGAATTGCATATTACGTTTTGTGTTCATATTTTAGGATTAATTAGTGAATTAATTACTTTATTAAATAAAAATAACAAAAATATTGTTCATTTTTACATTTTAGCTTTTAATATTAGATTAGTAATTTTTTTCTTCATTAATTTAGGATTAAGTAATTTTGTAATTATTATAAATAGATAATTAGTTTGATTTTATAGGTGATATTAATTTAGGACTTTAATTAATTAAAGGAAAGAAAAAGGGAAAAAAAACAAAGAAAAGGAAAATAAGAATAATATATTTTTTGTCTTGTTTCTTTTAAAATTGGGCTAATTTCTAAAATGACCCAAATTAATTTTAAAACCCCAGCCCAATTCCCATAACCCCTGCTCGATCCGGTCCCAAGCCCCACCACCCAAACAACGCTGTTTTCCCCGTTTTAATCCCAGCCGTTGATCTTCCATGATTCAAAGGCTGAGAACCAATGTCCCCCCCCCCATTTAAAACTGGTCGAAGACTCGCACCCAACCCTAGAGATCAGATCTCACTTCAACAATCTCCCTCTCATCTCTCTCAAGCCCCAAACCCCAGCCGCCCACATACCCTAAACCACCTCCACCACCCTAAACCACCCCAAACCTTTACCCCACAATCCCCACCTCCTCCTCATCCCATATCCTCTCTTAATTTCCTCCAAAACACCCTAGAATTGCCCGATTTTCAAATCTAAAAATGGTCATTAACTAGCCAAAGTCCCCAAACCGGTCTTCTAGCTTTTCTTTAAATCAAACCTTTAATTCCTCATGGATTTCTGACTTGCGAGGTATTTGCCGGACTAAGCATCTGAAAAATACTTGTTGGCCAGAAATGCTTGGCGATTTGAAGAAGCAGATTCGAGCACCTTCTTATCTCCATTTCTTGTTTGTTGTTGACCGTCCTCTCCTCTTTTGGCATGACTGGTTCCAGTAGGTAATTTTTCTTCTTTTCTTTTCATCTTCTTTTTTTTTCTCCGTGTTTTTTTCTTTCAACCAAACAACCTTTCTGTTCTTTCTTGAATTCCTCTTCAGTTTGTTTGCCCTAATGATTAAGAGGCTTAATTATTCATTAGTTTAAAACATATAACAATTAGTTTATCGATTTTAGTTTACTTGCTAAATTAGGCATTCGTCTTGATTTGTTTTTAGTTTTGCATGATTTACTTGCCATTTAATTGCATGATTGATTTTTTAGTTTAATTGCATGTTCAGTTTAATTGATTCAACCTTAATTAGTTCAGTAATCTAGTTTGGGTGAATTAGTCGATTATTTCTGTTTCATTATGATCTGTGATAGCTTGGTTGCCAATTGGAATTAAAGGGGTTGAAAGAGTAATATTGAAAACTTTAAAGGGTTAATTGGATGCCAAATCAGAGAAACAAAGGCTAGAATGGCCTAAATGGTTCTAGGAAGTTCTAGAAGGGGTTAATGGGTAATCAAACAATCAGAATTTAGGTCAGATTAGTTAAAATTGTAATAAGCAGAATTTAAAAGGGGTAAAATTGGGAGTTTAAAATGAGAAAATATCAGAATGTTCTAGTATAGGACAACTGCCCCATTCTTAGCATGTAAATACTGAAATTGAGTGGGAAAAAGGACATACAGCAGTCAAAAAATACTGTACTATGTGATATTTCAGAAATTAGGGTAGAATATTTTATTTTTTATGCTATCTTTGTGCATTCTATATAAAGAATAAGCATTCACTCATTCTAGGGGAGGGATAAGAATATTCATTCTAAGAGGCAGCCCTAAACCCTAGTTTTTAATTCTCTCTTTAGTTCTTCCTTTAACCATATATAGAAACAGAAAACAAATAAAAAAGAGAAAAAGTTCTTAAGGCTGTTTGATTTTCCTCCATTTCTCTACTGTTTTACTTCGTCATGTTGGGATTTTGTGTCTAATTCCGGATTCTTGCTTCATGCTGGTTGTTGTTGCTATTTTTTCTGCTACTCATTACTAGAGATTTATTTTCTTTTCTGGTCCATTTTGCTGTAATCAGGTATTCACCTTAAATCTAAGATTCAGTTTTTGTATGAATAAGTTGATTGCTTTATTGGTTCTATGAAGTCTTGATCCTCCCTCATCATGTGTTGATTTCC